AGATCAAGTTGGATTGAAAAATCTTAGTATTGATTTGTTAGTTTTGAAGAGAACAGTCCAATTGTTTATCTCCTTCCCCTTCCCCCATAGATCAATTGGTCTCGGTTAGTTGGATTATTTTTTAAAAATCACACGAATTTTAAACCGTACCACTGATGAATCTGGTAGCAAACGAACGAAATAAACCTTTTGTTTTAGCTAACTTATGTAGGCAACTAGAAATTTATGGTGTCTTACATAGTTGTCTGTTCACATTATTAACGTGGTGTATTTTACCATTTCAAATAGTTTAGTTCTCAAAGGAAACAATGAAGTTATTCAACACTTAGATCCCACTCAATTGTGTTTATTTCCTGATTGAACTAGGTATCTTTTGAACATATTTCCTTGATTCAGTATTTGAGGTTGCCTTTTTTTGTACGTGTGTGTGTGCAGAGGGAGGGGGGTTGTTGTACTACTGTAAGTCTGCAGTTCCAACTCCTCGTTAGTCTAGCTGCTTTTTTTTCAAATAAAAATCAATACAAGAATTTTAAGTTGAGATTTTCATTTTTATTGCTTCCTATTGTATTGAAATGACTAACCTCACTTATTGTCTTTTATTGAACAATTTCGGTTAGTAGTTTCCATAGAGATTTTGCCAACTGGGTTGATACTTGGGAGCTATTCAATAAGCATTTTAGGGGATATATTACTTCAATTGTTGATTAGTATTACTTAATACTCTTCAGAATTAATTGCATCCTTACATTTTTCAAGTATTAGATTCGATGAACAAACATATCAAACGAAGAAAATCCTATTATGTTATGTGTAGTCGTAAACCCCAGTAAATAACCGACATTTATTAGCATATCAAGGCGTTGTGTGTATATGTTTTCGGACATTTGTTCATGATTCGTAACCTTTGAAGTATTCTTCAAATTTATCAAGATAATAGCTGAATTTCGATAGCGTAATTGAAAGACGAAGTTTATCTGAGCAATGTGATTTATTTGCGCAATACATTTTGAACAATCTGATCACACATTTACTTGTCAAGTCAATATATGTTCGAAATGTATTGTGCAAATACGTCACATTGCTCAGATAAACTTCGTCTTCTAATTACGCTATCAATATATATTAAACCGAGGACTGGGAGGGGGGGTAAATACAACAATTTACACAATAGGGATTCAAATTAAGAAAGATGAGGACAAACAGGAAGTGACATAGTTGTGAGTGAGAGAACATGCGCCTAAATGGCTTCAAAAACAAATTAAGTGTGAGATAGTGATAAACGCTGATAGGAGACGACTGTCTTCATCTATAGCCAAACATATCATAGAAACAGGTTATAAAGTTGATGTTCAAACAGCTTTCAAAGTTTTATATAGAAACAGTCAGGGATGTATTCTGAGATTTGCGGAAGCCATAGGCATACACAAATTCAAACGACCTTTATGTGTACAAAAACAGTTTGTTATTACACTACACCTACCTTGGTAAACTTTGTTTTCTTACCAGGATTAGGACCAACTATGTGACTTCCTGTTTGTCCTCATCTTTCTTAATATATGTTGACTTGACAAATAAATGTGTGATCAGATAGTTCGAAATATATTGCGTAAATACATCACATTGCTCAGATAAACTTCGTCTTCTAATTACGCTATCGAAATAGCTGAACTGTTATAAAATTCAATTTGAGGGTATTTTTTGTGGAGATTTATTCAAGTTGATATTCATCATAAATTGACATTAATTGAAATCAATAACTCGCCACAAACCCCCAAATCGAGGGGTGACTCCTGAAGTTTCAATGGAAATTTTTGACTAGTGGGGTTAACCTGGGGGATGTGAGGATGAATACTCAACGATGACATTGGGTGATGGTTGTGTCATCTTGTGAATTGACAGAAGTTTTGAAATATGGACCATTGGATACTGACCCAGTGGCTCTATGGTAATGTGCTGGCCATGGGACCTGAAGCTCCTGAGTTCGATCCCTAGTGAGGCAGGGCCATAGGTACTCACTGCTAAGGAGTCTCATACTATGACAAAATAGCTGTCCAATGCTTCCAGGTATCCAATGTTCCTCCAACTTGAAAAATCACTAATTCCCCACAAACTACCGTAAGTTAAACTGCTAAAATATTCTCTATTTTAGAGATTGAACTTTTGCAAACACAGTTTTCATAATGAATGTTTTGACTTCCATCTGAATGTTAAGCTGAAACGTCCAACTATAACTTAATATCCATATTTTGTGGAGACTTTTTTATTTAGTATAGTTATAAGACATCAAAACTGACAAATTACAGGTAATATTGGACTTGAGTGAAATGTATAGAAAAGAGTTAAACACTGATAACGATATCTCTTTTTATTAGGTGTCTGTTTTCTGTCTATTCTCATTGTTCATTGTTATCTCTAAGCCTTTTCAGCCTTTTTTTTATCCACTGTAAATCTATAGTAAATATTTCTTTTTATTGTTATAAAATATCTGTCAACAAGATTTCATTTCATTGTTTGTTTATTTCTTACTTATATTTGACAGTGATGTTTAAGTAAGTAATTCTACTCTACAATTATATGAATCCCTTTCACACTGAAATCCATCACATTATAAAGATTGTAAATGCTGTGAAAACTCTATTTTATAAATAGTTTGAAAAGTTGTTATAACTGGTGAATGAAACTACTTTTCTGCGAATAGTTCCTAAATAATTTAGATTTACACACCCTTGGTGACTGGTTGGTAAAAAGTGTAGGTAGCATGATTGTTTTTATATGATATCGTCGTAGATTGGACCGAATTGATCGGTCTCTATTGGCATATGAGCTCGTGTGCGGATGCCTTGATATTGCCAACGTAGATATCATATTCTAAATTGCTGGTAGAAATTAGTTTATAGGTTGAGAAATACAGTTATTAAGAGAGAAAAATGTTCTAATGTACAGTGTTCTTCTGTTAGTAGTTAAATCTAATTCTGCACGGAGTTCTGTATGACTCAAATTTCTAACTTGTTGGAATTCATCAACAAGATACTGTAGACCCACAGAGGAATAATATTTGAACATAATCTTTCTGTATGCAAATTTTAGGTTTTATCAATCTTGTTGTAATCGCCTCTGATATGTTGAGCAGCAGGTGTTGGCCAGCTACATGTGATAATGTTTTTGTTATGCAATATATGACATTAAAAGTTTCACTAACATCCGTGTGATATCCTGTGTTTACTAGGTGCACTAAAAAAAGAGCTAAGCATCACTTTCAATTCAATTTACAAACAAAACCGCTAAATGTTTTCGTACCAAGACATCCACCTACTTAATCGTACGCCTTAGGTAACTTGTTCCATAGTAACAATTGAACTGATATATACATTCATAATTCCCATTCAAGCATCAAAGACAAGATATTCAGTGAAGAGGAGTGTTTTCAACGAATTTATTCCCAAGTTGTACATTCGTATAAACATATATGATATTTGAAGACTGCTATCCGTCAGGAAGATTTAACTTAAATAGTGGGAGGTGCCAATATCCATTAATGATGGTTATAAGGATAATAATGTTGCTAGATGATGACGTGTAAAGGTTGCATAATAACAAAAACGGTCACCTAATATTTTTTTTTAGATCGTTTATACGGTGCATATAAATTAAAAAGGTGTAAAAATGTGGTAGAGTTAATAAACAATCAAAAGACAACAAGTTAATGGGAATAATTTGAGAATGTTTTGTTAAAAGTTGCAATTATTGGAAAGACCAAATGAAATAACACGGGAAACTGTTAAATGTAATTAATGAAGGATCATGGTTAGCAGTGGAGTCCAGGATGCGCATTTCGTCCTACTTGGGACTCCTCAGCTGGATGTACCTGCTTCCCAATGAGTGATGTTGTTCCCACCGGGATTGGGACTCGAGAGCGATCACTTCAAACACCAGGGCGTTATCCACTACATCACCAAAATGCGCACCCTAGATTCCACTACTACCCACGATCCATCAATAATATAATTAGAACGCAGGCAATATCGACGCATCCGCACAGGAGCCCATATGCTAATAGAGACCGATCAATTCGGTCCAATCAACGACGGTATCATATAAAAAAATTATATTAAATGTAAAGATGAAAATAATAATAATGACGAAATAAAGGTACAAAGATAAATCTAACAAAAGAGGGAGTTGAAAAAACAAGAAAGGAACGAAGCACACCAAGATCAAAATAAGTTAAGGCCAAGGTGCAGACAAAGACTACACTTTACGTACTTCTTTTGCAACAAAGGCCAGGCCAGCTTTAGTCCATGGATAGTCAAAGCCTCTGCTGTTTTTAAAAGTTGAACACGCAGGAAACAGGAAATGTTTGAACGAATTCAATAGATAACTTTAAAATTATTGTTTGGGTCAGTTGAGTGATTGAAATTGACTGGATATTCGAGGATAGAACTTCTGATACATTTCCTTTCCCCTTTACTTAACCAGGCAGGAATATGTTTTTTTTGTACATGTTGACAACAATCTCTAACTATAGCCAATGTGCCCTGCTCCACACATGCAGGTGAACTAGTACATACACATAGATGTGGCTTGTCGAGGGATATTGTCTTTATACATCGGAGAACAATTTACGAGTCAGAGTTTACTAATAAAGTTTGAATGAACACTGTAAGAAGTATAAATAATCCTTTAGAAGATAACTTCTAAAAGTTTTAAGCAATTGAAGTTGGTCAATCATAAATAGTGACCATCTGTAGGCCATGATGTCATTCATGTATAGCATTATTTGATTTGTGAAATTTATACGTGATAATGATCATCATGCAGTGATCGATTCAAGCATTTATATTATAACCAGATTAATCTAACACTTCTAGAATATGAGCATAACTTTTTCCATCAGATCTGAACAGTTGTTTGCTCATAAGGTCGAGAGGAAGGGGAGAGGAGCAGGAAGTGCTATTTTCGTTAATCATTTACCTCTTAAAAATTTTTTTTCTTTTCACCAGTGAAAATAACAATTCAAGATGAAGTACCACTGTCCAATCATCAGCAGCAACAAAAAAGTGTAAACGATGTGAATACTTTTACTACAGTCAATATATCTGAATGTATTGAATTGACAAATGCATATAAACAGTCTAAATCACCTGATAGAATAACTTCAAACTTATCAGACTCTCAAATACCACCACTCAATAGAATATCAGTAGTCTGTCAAGATGATCTACATCAATTATGCGCTCTTTTTGAATTTCGTGGCTATTTTCTCATTATTCATACAAATAATGAAGTCAATAAAGTAGGTGTTTCGTCTCAATGCTATATGTGTGTTTTATCAACGTTCCATTTTATAATGGTTGCTGTTGTATATTCATCAGAATAAAGTGAACTATTATTATTATTGCTATTATTACTACTATACAATTCTTCATGTATTATCAGCAATAATGCCTAGTTCTACGTTGATGATCAGCAGATACTCGGGTAAGTAGACGTAACAGATATGACTCTTTAGCTTCTGTAATCAGATGATGAAGACTATCCTACCAATCTAGTCATATGTGAACTTATCAATATTATTTATACTGGATAATGATTGAAGGAGGAAGGGAAATCTGGTTCATGGTAGGATTAAAATCAGTGGTCTCTGGGTTACTGTCCCGTTGCTGTACCAACTGAGCTAACAAATTTATCTACAGATCTGATCACAACTTCACTTCAAGGATTTTTGCCTGACTCCCGTGTAAATTCATTATGTCTTCCTATCCGTTCATCATATTCACACTGCTTCCTAGTCAGGATTTTTTATCACAATTGAAATCAACCTGAATTAGAAGGCGGGGAGGAGGATCATATTGATTACCAATTTGACTACTTGAGTGAGATAGCCGTGGTTTGCCAGACTTGGATATTGATACTGACTGATGATTGAAGATGAAAGGCCGTGCCAAGCCTCAAATAGTCAACTGATAATATAATTTGCATAAAAATTAGAAAATGGGAGTTTAAGCCAATAAAAATGAGTAATTAGCATAATATGGGTGGAATAGAAACACAATCGTGTCATTTATGGATGAATGCGGTGGTAGCTAATGAAAGTTTAGCTTGGATACAGAAGACCCATTTGGTGTTTGCCAACTTCCGCCATCAATGGAGCCAACTGGTGAGATATTCGACTTCCTATCAAAAGAAAAGTATACTGCATTGCAGTCGGTTTTGTCCTGGTACGCGGGTGTGAGACATGGTCGTTGAAAGTAGATGACATGAAGCGATTACTGGGTTTTGATCATAAGTGTCTTCGTAGCATTGCTCGTGTTTGGTGGAATCACCATATGAGCAATGTTGAAGTCAAGCGAAGGGTACTAAGCGAGACTGACATGTTGATTGATGAGGTCCTGAGACGAATACCGATTCACCACCTACCCCAATATACCATGCTAGAGGAAGTGAAAGAGAGTTCAGCATGGTCAAACCACGACCTTGTTCCAGTCAATGAAGTCTCTTACTGTTGGGATGTAGACTGTCTGGTTGGGGTTCGTGAGACGAAAGTATGTAGAGTATCCAGCGATGAGTACTACTAAAATTTATGAATTCATTAAATCCTGCTTTTTTCACATTCATTGCTTGTTTTAAATTTGTATCGGGAAACAAATGTTTTTAATTCTTAGTATATGTTTAGAGATATACGAAGATGGATGTTTATCACCTACACTTATCAGATCTGTTGAGGTCATTTGTTTTTGAAGCCACCTAGGTACATGTTCAACCATTCTTAACTGAATATCACGTTTACTCCTCTGTATGTATGTGTATCCATACATTGAAGAAGTTCTCATATCGCTCACATAGACTCATTCCTGTTCTAACCGTAAAGAATTCAAAAGGATCTGTGTCAGAATACTTGAAAGGATATTTCCCACCAGAAACTTAGCATTCTAGCAGTGAGATTACTATCCATCGAATAAAGTGATTAGTATGAGTATAAAATTTGGCACTTTGGTAGAATGTTTACTTGATATGTAGCACACAGTATGATAGAGTATTACTACTTGATGACAAAGTTTCGGCATAATCATATCAATGTAATCATACCACATTCAAAATATGATTTCTACAGTCCCGTCACCTCTTATTCTTTGTTTCTGTTGGTAGTAAAACTTTCCATATCTCTGGTATAGGTCTTGAGTTATTCTTGTACATGTGTTGGGTGGATGTTGATTCGATGAACAAAGATTCAGTAATCAGTCCACGTCTCTCTCTCACCTAACTATATTAGATTTGAGTACAGTGGTATTATCCCACCTACCCTATTATGTGGTTGTGTATTAATGTATGCATTGCAATAGTCGAGTGTTTTTTTTTATTACGGGTTCCATTGGGGTCTATCATTCTATATTTGGCTAAATTCCTAATTTCCGCTATTCTAACTGACTCCAACCGGCTAGTTTCACCTTGTACTTGATCTCACAGTCATTACATGGAATTTGATAGATTAGATTATTCTGCTTGATTGGTTCTGTCAGATATTTAAGTCATTCGACAAACTTATCTCTGAGTGAGTTTGTAGGTTTAAATTTCACCCTAATTCCAACTTTGTTCAGGATCCTAAGTAAAATTTCTGATGTACCTTCCTTATAGGGTAACATAATGGAGGCTGTGAACTCCTTTCTACTTGTGTTGTCGCTATTATTCATATTCGTATTATTACTTCTGAATAGACTGTGGAGCTTAATTATTAACTATTAGTGCTTCATTTATATGCTTCAGTTCCTTGTCTAAGTCCATGAACTGACTAGTGAGTTTTCCAGCTGTATCATTGAGACACTTGACTAAACCTGCTTTAACTGACATTCGATGAGATGACCTGAAGTGTAGATACCTGTTAGAATGTGTCGATTTTCTGCAGACGGTAGAACCCAAACCTCTGTCTGTCCTCCGTTTTTTCCTTCAATCCAACATAGATACGAGGAGCTCGTAGCTCAGCTGGTAGAGCATCGGGCCATAAACCCGGTGGTTGCTTGTTCGAATCCCGCCGCGGTCCAGATTTTCATTTCACCTTCAATCATCACCCAGTATCAATACTAGTTTACCAAACTACGACTATCACAGATAGTCAAAATGATAGGTAATTCTCCTTGTTCATTTTCTACCTCATAATTTAATTGAATTTGCTATTGCAGTGCATGGATTAACACACAACCACACAATTGGGTTGTTGTATAGGTATAGGTGTATGCTGAATTTTGTATGATCCTTTCAAAAAGTTTAGGTGCCCGCTCACGTTAGCCATTTTATCCCAAAATGAGGGCGACTATGAAGGCTAACCTAGCAACGGTCAAAATAACCAATTAGATCTCTTCATTTCAACAGGAAAAGCTGACTAGCATAAACTACATTAGTCTGATTGCTGTTTCAGTTGTTGCTAGGGTGGCCATTAAAGTCACTCCAAAATGAGCTGGTGGTGGTATTTAAAATTCTGATCAGTCATAATTGTCAGCACTAGACATTTCTATCAGCATCTGCCACTAAGTGTGACGCTGAAGATAATCTCTTGGGCTATGCATATTCTACTCAACTTCAACTACTTGATGCTCAGGTTATCAACCATTTTCTGGACCGAGGAAAAGATCCTAAAAGATTTGAATTTCGCCGACGACTTGTCTAATGTCGCACAGACTCGAAGATCTACAGGCGAAAACTAACAAGTTGACAGAAGAGGCAGCGAAGATGGGACTTCCTTCAGATGAATGTAGAGAAGACAGAAAGGATGACGATACCGAATCAATGCCACCACCAGCAACAACAAGCTCCAATCACCATCAATGGGAAAAACTTAAAGGAAGTAGCCTCTTTCACCTACCTTCCTAGGTAGCACTGTTTCAACTACAGGCGGCAAAGATGAGAACGTCAAGCCAGGATCAGAAATACAGCAAGACAGGCTTTCGTTCATTAACCTGAAACAAGTGTGGAGATCTTCTGCACTCAGCATGTGCAACAAGATCCGAATTTTCAACACCAACGTCAAGTCATTGCTTCTATGTGATGTTGAGAGACTTGGCACGTTACGAAAAGCATTTCCAACAAACTACAGACATTCATCAACTACTGCCTCCATTGGCTCGTTACAGAAGCTCAGATGGCCAGAATAATAAGAATAAGCAAGAAGGAACTCTGGCTGGCTGGCTGGCTGGCTGTCAACGAACCAACCAAGAACCTATCACTCGCTCAAGAAATATGCACTGGAAGGAATTGGAGATGGATTGAATTAGGCATACAATGAGAAGGCTGACTGGGGAAATCAAGCGTCAGGCCAGGCACTCGAGTAGAACGGAGATGGGAAACGACGAGTAGGGCGTTGGATGCGAGTATGACATGGAGGAGATGGTGTGAGGAAGAAATGGGCTGTTGTGGAGCCAGGTTGAAAAGATTTCAGAGAAGATAGTGGAATGGAGACGTGCTAGTGGAGCCGTATTTTCCACTAGGAACCCAAGGGACAAATAGTAATAATTCTTTGGTCAGATGTTTAATGAAGTTGCATAATAAGGCTACAACTTTCAACAACTGATGATATTGTCTAGAATAACATTGAAAGATTTACTAGCAAACCATTCAACTCAGAGACCAGTGCACCACAAAAATCCTCTTCTTGAGGCCTCAAGTATTCTCCATCTCATATATCTAACATATTTTCAAATGCATGTCGCAATTGCTCTTCTTTATTTATATGTTTCCACACACACATATGTTAACTGATAAACGTAATAGGATGGAGTGTACTCTTAGTATATTACTTAGACTTTTGTTCATACATTGGTTTGGTCTTTTTCATTAAGATAACCCACAGTCCATACAAAAATCATTGATTAGTCAAGTATTTTATATTGTTCACTCTTAAGTACTGACTGTATTTCATCGATCATTCTGTAATGTGGCCGCCAACCTCAAAGAATCATCATCACATCACACTTCGGTTGATACTAGATGCTGATAGGATAATATCTGTGATTGCAATATTCAGTGACTAGCAAAGGAATCCAAGACGCAAGTTTCGTCCTATTTGAGACTTGTCAGCTGGATGTACCTGAAAGTATCATAACAATAACTGATACTCGTTGCACAAAAGGTGGCCATCGTACCCCAGTGGGTTAGTGGATAACGTTCTAGCGTTTGAAGTGAAGGGTAATTGGTTCGAACCTTACCATCACCCACTAGGGTGCAGGTACATCTAGCTGACAAGTACCAAATAGAACAAAAAGTACGTCTTGCTTCCTTCTCTGCTAGTCACCAAGATCAATATAA